TACTAATTCTAATAAATATCACTGAATTAGTAAAAAGTTTAACTTATTTAAATTAAGGATTCACTGTTTGCTTTTGAATTAGTAAAATTTAACTAATTAATAGTAAAACAAAATTTTAGTAACGATTTATTAAAATTTAACTAATTCAATAGGAAAAATTAAGCAGTTAATTCAAATTAGTTAAAAATTTTACTAATTCTAATTAATTTTAGTGAATTAGTAAAAAATTTAACTAATTTTAATAAGTAAAATTTAACTAGTTGATAGTAAATAAAAAAATTTTACTATGGAATTAGTAAAATTTGAATTAATAAATAACTTTTTGCTTTTAAGTTAGTAAAATTTAACTAATTAATAGTAAAAAAACGTTTAGTATCAATTTATTAAAATTTAACTAATTCAATAGCAAAAATTAATTAACTAATTGAAATTAGTTACAATTTTTATTAATTCTAATTAATTTTACTGAATTAGTAAATTTTAAAAAAATTTTAATAAGTGATTAACTTTTTGCCTTTTAAATTAGTAACATTTAACCAATTATTATTAATTAACTCTAAAAAAATGTTTACTATCAAATTAGTAAAATTTAACTAATTAATAGTAAACAAAATTTTAGTATCGATTTATTAAAATTTAACTTATTCAATACGAAAAATTAAGCAGTTAATTCAAATTAGTTAAAAATTTTACTAATTCTTATTAATTTTAGTGAATTATTAAAAAATTTAACTAATTTTAATAAGTAAAATTTAACTAATTGATAGTAAATAAAATAATTTTACTATGGAATTATTAAAATTTGAATAAATAAATAACTTTTTGCTTTTAAATTAGTAAAATTTAACCAATTAATAGTAAAAAAAATGTTTAGTATCAATTTATTAAAATTTAACTAATTCAATAGCAAAAATTAATTAACTAATTGAAATTAGTTACAATTTTTATTAATTCTAATTAATTTTACTGAATTAGTAAATTTTAACTAATTTTAATAAGTAATTAACTTTTTGCCTTTTAAATAGTAAAATTTAACCAATTAATATTAATTAACTCTAAAAAAAATGTTTACTATCGAATTAGTATAATTTAACTAATTAATAGTAAACAAAATTTTAGTATCGATTTATTAATATTTAACTAATTCAATAGGAAAAATTAAGCAGTTAATTCAAATTAGTTAAAAATTTTACTAATTCTAATTAATTCTAGTGAATTAGTACAAAATTTAACTAATTCTAATAAGTAAAATTTAACTAGTTGAAGTAAATAAAAAAATTTTACTATGGAATTAGTAAAATTTGAATTAATAAATAACTTTTTGCTTTTAAATTAGTAAAATTTAACCAATTAATAGTAAAAAAAATGTTTAGTATCAATTTATTAAAATTTAACTAATTCAATAGCAAAAATTAATTAACTAATTGAAATTAGTTACAATTTTTATTAATTCTAATTAATTTTACTGAATTAGTAAATTTTAACTAATTTTAATAAGTGATTAACTTTTTGCCTTTTAAATTAGAAAAATTTAACCAATTAATATTAATTAACTCTAAAAAAAATGTTTACTATCGAATTAGTAAAATTTAACTAATTCAATAGCAAAAAGTGAGTCAGGAATTCAAATTTTACTAATTCTAATAAATATCACTGAATTAGTAAAAAGTTTAACCTATTTAAATTAGGGATTCACTGTTTGCTTTTGAATTAGTAAAATTTAACTAATTAATAGTAAAAAAATAATTTTATTATCGATTTATTAAAATTTAACTAATTCAATAGGAAAAATTAAGCAGTTAATTCAAATTAGTTAAAAATTTTACTAATTCTAATTAATTTTAGTGAATTAGTAATAAATTTAACTAATTTTAATAAGTAAAATTTAACTAGTTGATAGTAAATAAAAAAATTTTACTATGGAATTAGTAAAATTTGTATTAATAAATAACTGTTTGCTTTTAAATTAGTAAAATTTAACCAATTAATAGTAAAAAAATGTTTAGTATCAATTTATTAAAATTTAACTAATTCAATAGCAAAAATTAATTAACTAATTGAAATTAGTTAAAAATTTTACTAATTCTAATTCTAAACTCTAAAAAAATGTTTACTATCGAATTAGTAAAATTTAACTAATTCAATAGCAATTTAAAATTAATAACTAATTTGAATATTTTAAATTATATTTAATATTTTCCAATTTAATCCAATTCAAATTCAAATTCAGAGAGAAAATATTCTTAAATTAAAATTGAGATTTACATTTTTTCAATGTAATAATTTAAATTTAAAAAATTTTACATTTAAATTTTCCCTCAAATTATTGAAATTCCGGTCATTGAATAAAATTTTTCAAAAAATATTGAGAGAGAGAGAGAGAGAGAGAAAAAATTGCCGAGGTCAAAATCTCGATTAGGTACGAACGGTTATCGAATATGCGGGGAATTTGATGCCGAATATACCATTAAGCAAATGATCCGTGAAAGTGACCGTTGCTCGACCAATTTTTTTTTTTTTTCCATTTTTCTTTAATACATTTTCCCTACGAGAAAGAGAGAAAGACAGAGGTAAAAAAGAAAAGATCGGGTAAAAGAGAAAAGAGTTTGGACGGCAATAGAGATCGGTGGGATGGGATTTTTTTTTTTTTTTTGGAAGGGGGGCCACGCTACCATGGAGACTGCGGGCGATATTAAAACGTTCTCAACGTCGCTGACGGGACGTGCACATTGCCTATAGCCCAGACTCTCTTTTCTACACAAATCGTCCAATAGAGAGATTGGTTTCTCTGCGGCGGAACGAAATTGTCGATCTCTATCGCACGATTGCTCTCAAAAAACAAAAGCCATACACCTCTCTTTCTCTCTTTGAAAAAAAAAAAAAAAAAAAAAGTAACTTTCTCAAGATGATGATATGATGGTGGAACTAAAAGTGCTTCCAAACCGCAAAGAGAAAAAAAAAGAAAAGGATTTGAGTGCTTATACAATTTTTGTCATTCTTTTCGAGAAAAGAAATAACTATCCATTTTCTTTATTTCCTGGCCATATAAATTTTTCCCAGAGGATCAAAAATAATAAGTGGAAAATTGAGATGAGTTAGAAAGCAAAACGAGATTACATAATATAATCATTGAAGGTATTTTTCAGAGGCGAGGGGTTTTCATTTTTTTTTTTTTTTTTATATTCAGGAAAGTAAAATAAAAATTCTTTTTTTACTGTTTTTTTTTTAAATTCCATTTCTACGATTTAAAATGGTAGACAATTTAAAAAAAAAAATTCTTTGACAATTTTTTTTTTTTTTCTTTGACTAATCTATTTTTTTATTTGAAAATTCGGGCAATAAAAGGCGAATGATAAATAACTGAATCCACTTGCAAAGATTCCCCGGAAAGTGCCCTTGCAGATTCCACAAGAATTCCGTCGGAACTTCCAACGGAATTCCGATTAATTCTTTTTTTAATTTTTAGAGTCCTACATTAAGAAAATAATAATTATTATAAAATAGAATTTTTATCATAGAAACTTTACTAAAAAAAAATTATTATAAATAATTATTATAAATAATAATAATAAAATAATTATTAAATAATAATAAAATAATTAAATAATAATTAAATAACAATAAAATAATAATAATTAAAATAATAATAAAATTTGAAAATTAATAAATTAATAAAATAATTATTAAACTAATTTATTTTTTTTTTTACATTTTCATGGTAACATGTGCATTAGATAGAAAGAGAAGACATTCAGCTCAGTATATACAAATATATGTTGAGTATAATGTATTCAGTACAGTTACCACACGTGTGTAACAGACGCAAAATAATGTCAAACATTGGCGGAATGTCAATATTAAATCAGTCTGTTATTTATTAATAATTAATACATATGAATTTTTAAATATATTATAATTAAACACGCAATAATAATAATTGTACTATTTAATAAGATATTTTTTATTCTAGTTGTATGTCTATATATATATATATATATATTTTATTAATTAAACAATAATGTAAATTATGTATTTAAAAAAAAAAATTATAAATTATAATACTAATATACTTGGAAAAAAAAATCTTTCTCTAGAACAAGTAATATGTTTCTCTAGAATAGCAAAAACTTTCGCTGTTTTAGTGAAATATTTCACTGTTCCAGTGAAACTTATCGCTGTTTCAGGTAAAATTTTTTTTTTCCATAATAATTTGTATATCATTAATAAATTATAATTATTATAATTAATAATAATTATTATGTTTTATAAATAAATATATAAATATAAAAATATAAAAATATAAAAATATAAATAAATAATATAAATATATAAATAATTATTTATAATAATTATAAGAATAAAAATTATTATAATTTATAATAATAATAATTATTATTATTATTCTTATTACTATTATTATTATTCTTTAAAAAAATAATATATTAAACACTAAATGTAAAAAACATACAATTTTTAATACAAATTATTATCCATATTAAATATATAGTAAATATATTCCTATCGTATTTTTGAAAAAATGTAAAAAAAAATTAATTATTTCTTTTGATATGCTTTTTAAATATTTACCAACGTTCATCAATTATATTTTAAGAAGGTTGTTTAATAATTTTTTATATCAAGTTCCATTGTATTCTACTTCATTATTCTTCAAGTTCATTGTATTATTCTTCAAGTTCATCGTATTATTCTTCAAGCATAATTTTAACATATATAAATATAAAAAGATATTTAATTAGAAAAATTTAAAATTGAATTAAATAAAAAAAAACTTCAAGTCGTTGACTTATTTAAAAATGAAAATTTGCTACTAATTTTTAGTATTTTTTTTATTAGAACTTTAGTAAAAAAAAAAATTATTGTTACTAAAATGCAAAATAATATAAAAAAATTTTTGCCAAAAAAAAGTCGATGGATAATTTTGAATCAACTTTTTAACTAATAGATTTAGATCAATGATTATAATATAGAAATGCAAAAAATGTGTTTATAATTTTTTTTAATTTTTATTTTTATCAATGAAAACAAAAAAAAAGTTAATAACAATAATATACATTTTAGTAATTTGTTTGTAAAATACTAGAAATGTTGTTCAGTGTTCAGATGATATAAGTCCATTGTTTGATGAAGAATAATCGGTTGATAACTGAAAAAGAAGAACAATGTTAATTTAAATTCATTAAAAAATAATTTCAGATCTTTTTTGTTTAGTTAATATTTTTAAAAAATGATTACGTACATTAATTAATGACAAATTTAGTTGTTCTAACCTGCTTTCTTTATTTAACTAGAAAATAATATTTAATAATATTTTTTTTTTACAATATTTTATTATAATATTTTTTAATATTAATAAATAATTAAATTCTGAATTAAAGTATATTCACCTTGATTATTAAATCGCTTTCTTCTGAATCTTCATTATTTTTTGACTGAAAATAACAAAAATTTAATATTTTATTTATTATTGTATGAATTTTATTTTTTTAATTAATTTGCAATAGTCAGTACCTTATTTTCTAAATTAATAACACTTGACTTTAACATATCCAAAGACATTTTACTAACTTGGTTCAAAATCTGGAGAAAAAAATTATTTAAGTTGTAAAAAAAATTTTAAATTTTATGTAAATTTTTTGAAAATAAAAAACTACCTTTTTTCTTCTTAACCAAGCAAGTGCTTCTCGTTTCAATTTTTTATGAGACTGAAAGTCAAAATTAAATTATGAAAAAATTTATTTTGATAAAATTATTAATTAATTAATTAATTTATTTATTTATTAAAAATTAAAATCACGTTATTATATTAATAAATAGTATTTGTTGACAAAATAGTTGTTACCTTATTTGAAATCAACTCTTGTAATTTCATCCAATGGAAAGCAATTTTATATAAATCGTCATGAGACTAAAAAAATTATTTTTCAATTAAAAAATTTTATTTTAAATTTTATTAATTATTAACAAAAAAATAGATATGTACCAATTTATTTAAAATCTTCTCACTGATGTGTTCCAATTGAAAAAAATAATTTTTATCATTTTTGTTAGACTGAAAGAAAAAATTTAAATAATTTTTAGCATTTCGAAAAAAATTTTTAAATAAGTAAAAAAAAAATTAATTTTTTTCTGACTATTTTTTTTTTATTGGTTAGAGAAAAATTAGGAAAAATAGAATTCTATTAATTTTTGTTACTTACCTTAGTGGGAAGTGAGAAACTGATTTCTATTAAAACTAGAAGAGAGACAATTAAGAAAATAATTTTTGAAGATCTAGACATGTTTAGACTATATTTCATTTATTGAAAATAATTGACTATATAAAAGATGTTCAAAAAAAAATAAAATGTGACCCGATATCGCATTGCTCATTTTTAAATACTAATGTTACATAATTTAATCAATATATTTCATGTAAATTATGATCAGATATTAAATATCAAATATTGAAATATATAAATAATTTTCACATTTTTATAACTATTGAGGTAAATTCCATTGAAGTATAGTCATATTGACGAAATTTTTTTTTTTTTCATTTATTTAACTCAATTATTATTTAACAAAATGTCTATTTTTTCATAAAAATTGGATTAAGTTTTGAAATTTCATACGTAATACACAAATATTTAACTACCACATAACAGTTACAGAAAAATAAAATGAAAAATAAATACAAAATTTTTAAGAAAAACCTTCAAAATTATTAAAAACGTTATTAAAACTTGTTTGTAAAAATAAAAAATAAAGTAAATAATAAAAAATTAAATGAAATAAATATTAATTTATTCATAAAATTATAAATGTTGGAAATTTTTTACTACTGACGTTTATAAAAAAAATTGAATAGTTATTTATATTTAACATTCAAATATAGATTTAAGATTAATGTCGCGACACGTGACGCCTTATTATATAATTTACATATTTCAATTGAAAATTATGTAATCAGAGTGAAAAAAAATCCAATTCTTGAAAAATAGAAAATTATCTAATTTATATATTGTATAATATATTTTTTTATTTTTATATATATTTTTGTATTTTTATATATATTTTTTTATTTTTTTTTTAATATTTTTTTTAAATATTTTTTTTATATATTTTTTTTCTTGTATAAATTAGATAAAGCTTTGCAAAATTAAATGAAAGATATTTTCAATTATAATGACAAGACTTATTATATAAGTACAAAAAAAAAAGAAAAATAACCAATTTATTAGTATAAAAGGGTGCATATCAATTAGGAAAATAATTTAATTCGTTGACAAGATTTTATGCACAAGGAGCTGTTGTTTTCCAAGTAACCCAGTTTCATCTTAACGACTATGTTAATTCTTATTTCTTATCTCTACTTAAGCTTTAAAGGAAATTTCCAACAAGTGAATCATCTTGTTTAAAAGGGCGCTGCTCACTATAAGAAGAAATTGCACATTTAATTTTCATTTAAATATTCCTTTTGAGCAAAAAACGTAATTATTTTTCTTCAACATTTTTTTTTTTTTTTTGTGCTTTTGCGATAATTAAAATAAATAATAAATATATTTTTAAGTAAATAATATTTTTGGATATTCTTGATATTATTCCAAGTTGCGCTACAAGAAACAGAAATGCGTATGAGATTTACAAATTACATCCAATTTCGTGTAAATTTTCAGTATAATACCTGTATTAGATGCCAGGCTTCTAACTATTAAGGGTCTCATAAATCTGTATTAAAGCAAGCTCCATTGTATATATAATATATATATATATATATATATATATATATATTGGTGTTATATATATAGAGACACTCGAGCCGTAAATTTTTCCAAGCAATTATATCGATCTTTCTTTTTCAGTGATTCGATGGTAAAAAACTAAAAAAATTATTTTTAAACCAATTTTTACTTAAAAAAATTTTTAGATACTTTTTGGCAGAATTTTTATTTCACAGAATTTCTTTTTAATCCAATTTTTTATTTAAACGAATTCTAATTTAACCGAATTTTTATTTAGCATAATTTTCATTCAACAGAATTTTTATTTATACGAATTTTTAAATTTCAAAATTTTCTAATTTCCCGAATTTTTATTTCTTTGAATTTTTATTTGTACGAATTTTTAAATTTCAAAATTTTCTAATTTCCCGAATTTTCATTTCTTTGAATTTTTATTTGTTTGAATTTTTATTTGCACGAATTTTTATTTGTACAAATTCTTAAAAAGCCAATTTTTCATTTCACCGAAATTGCAAATGTCCGAACAAACATAACCTAGAAAAAGATTTTGGCGCGATTTTCAAAATTTGACCAATCAAAAATTATCAAGAAAAATCGAGATTGGTAAATTTTAAAAATAGCGCCGAAATATTTCTGTTTTTTTTCAATTAATAATAATTCTTTTATTTTATTTATATAAAATAAAAAAAAATTTATTTCTATTTTCAAATATGGAAAATTGCGTTCTATACAAAATTTAAAACACTTCTTTTATTCTCTGTAAAAAAAAAAAACAATAAAAAAAAAATTCAAGAGAAATGTAATTTTTTAACTTCTTTATTTGTGAAATAAAAATGTTTCTATATATTTTAAGAACTATAATGCAATGAATGAAATACCGTTTTTTTTTTTTGAAAAAAAAGAAAAAAAGGAATTTGTTTTCAGAATGACGTGTATGCTATCTTCATTGAAAAGAAAAATTGGAACACGTGTTCCATTGTTAGTGCACGTTGATAGTTTCGTGCACCCGTAAATCCTTTCCATATCGGACTAGTTTTTTGTGACAGGGAAAAGTTTCATATAAAAAAAAAAAAAAAAAAAACTTGTCGACAATCTTTAAAATCGGAAAAAAAGAACAAAAACAACATTTTTTGTCAAAGAAATTAAAACATATTTGTAAAAAAAATTAAAATTAGAAAAATTATTATTTAAAAAAACAGATTTTTAAATACTAATACAATGAAAAAAAAATTTATTTGATTCAAATACTCGATTGACTGTTATCAAATAAATATTTATTTGTATTAAATAATTATTATTTGAGAAGGTATTTATTTCAAATAAAGAAATTATTGATTCAAATACAACTTATGTAATTCAAATAACAATTTTTTTTATTTCAAAAAAATAAGTTCTTAGGCGAAGGTAAATAGAGCTGGTAGAAAAAATTTAGTTTCATAGCGTCCCTCCAGAGGGAACCAGCATATAGAGGTGGCTCCCTCTGAAGGGACGCTATGGAACTAAATTTTTTTTCCCTCTATAGAAACGCTATAAAATTACAGCTATATTCGCGAATTAAATTCGTCAAATAACAAAAAAAAACATTAAATTTAATGATACTACTTATTTTCATATAAAATAAAAAAATATATATTTTTTTATTTTTATTTATTAATATTATATTATTATTTCCATGATATGCATTAGCGGCTTTCTAAAGATTACACCACGAAAGTTCAAGAGGACCATTAAATAATTTGTCATTCGAGTTTTTTGTGTAAGGCAACAAATAAGTAAACTTGGTTGATCCTTAAAAAAAGCGTCACCCCTCAAGCATTTTTACTTTTGAATTGAACAAAGAATAAGAATAAGAAGATGAAAAAAAAGAAGAAGAAGAAGAAGAAAAAGGAATACATGAAAAAGAATCGATAGGGGTCAAAGGTTGGACGTGGCCAGAGGCTATTATTCGAAAGAACTTTTCGTATGGTAGTGAAGTAGCCATTCGTATCGCTTTAGAGAGCTGCGAAAGGGGAGGGAACCCTCTTTCGAAAGAGGTTTCTCTCTCTCTCTCTCTCTCTCTCTCTCTCTCTCTTGCGTTTCGAAAACTTATTGAAAAGCCTGGGTGGTGAGAGAGGAAAAAAAAGAAGGCTTGATCCTGGTAAGGAAAGGACGCACGAAATAAATGGGAAGCAAAGGGAGGAAACGTATATCGCGATACTAACGTGTGTGTGTGTGTTAGCAGGGCTTTTGGCAGGAAAAATGGTATGGCCTTTAAGGTGTATATGCGATAATAGACACCTAGCTATCTTCCATTTTACACAATATAGCTTGAAAATGTCGTCTAGAGTCTCTCTCTCTCTCTCTCTTTCTTTCTATGAAGTTTAGTATATTTTTCTCTCGTTTGGCCCCCGGTGTCGGCGCGTGATTTATGAGCGAGCGCTTTGCTCATATCACGCAAATAACCTATATATACAATCGAGAATTCATCATATTGTGTGTCTTGAAGGCGTTTTAAGTTTCTAAGATTGCGTGACGTTGTTTTGGTGCTCAGTAGGAACTGGGTGCCATTCTGTAACTTTTTTTCACTTTCACTTCACTTTCACTTCATTTCACTTTACTTTCACTTCACTTCACATTCACTCCACTTTCACTTCACTTTACTTCACTTCAATTTCAATTCACTTTCAATTCAATAGTTGCAGTGAAAGTGAAGTAAACGTTAAGTGACTTTCACTTCATTTTCACTTCACTTACACTTTCCCTTTTCACTTCACTTTCACTTCACTTTACTTTACTTCAATTTCAATTCACTTTCACTTCAATAGTTGCAGTGAAAATGAAGTAAACGTTAAGTGACTTTCACTTCATTTTCACTTCACTTTCACTTTACTTTCACTTCCATTTCACTTCACTTTCACTTTACTTTCACTTTACTTTTACTTTACTTTCACTTCACTTTAATTTCAATTCACTTCAATTCTAATTCACTTCCTTTTACTTTCACTTAACGTTTACTTCACTTTCACTGCAACTATTGAAGTGAAAGTGAATTTAAATTGAAGTAAAGTAAAGTGAAAGTGAGGTGAAAGTGAAATGAAGTAAAAGTGAAGTGAAAGTGAAAGTAAAGTGAAAGTAAAGTGAAAATGAAGTGAAAGTGAAGTGAAAATGAAGTGAAAGTGAAGTGAAAATGAAGTGAAAGTCACTTAACGTTTACTTCACTTTCACTGCAACTATTGAAGTGAAAGTGAATTGAAATTGAAGTAAAGTAAAGTGAAAGTGAAGTGAAAGTGAAAGTAAAGTGAAAGTAAAGAGAAAATGAAGTGAAAATTAAGTGAAAGTGACTTAACGTTTACTTCACTTTCACTGCAACTATTGAATTGAAATTGAAGTGAAGTAAAGTGAAAGTGAAGTGAAAGTGTAGTGAAAGTGAAGTGAAAAGGGAAAGTGTAAGTGTAATTGAAAGTGTAAGTGAAAGTGTAAGTGAAAGTTTAAGTGAAAGTTTAAGTGAAAGACTAAGTGAAAGACAAAGTAAAAGTAAAGTTACTGAATGACACTCAAATAAAAAAAATTTTTTCGCAAATTTTTTTTTATTATTTCCATACACGAATTTAGAAAAATAAAATCATTTTCGAATAATTTTTTTTCTCCCCCCTCATCTTAAAGCGACATTATTTCAATATCGATACGAGTCATCTCATTTACAAACCGTGTAAATTTTCCCAGCTTTTCCAGAACAACCCTCGCGGCCTTTCTTCTCTCACTCTCTCTCTCTTTAGTATATATTTGAGGAAGGGGGATCTTTTCCAACTACTCCCACCCTACTCTCTTCTTGGCTCATTTCTCACAATAATCTTGCTGGAACATAATGCCGCCCCCTTTTGAGAGGTTCATAGAGATGCACATAAATTGGAAGAGGCATTACGACGTCTCTCTCTCTCTCTCTCTCTTGCTTTTCCTTTGTGCCAATGCAATGCGTGCCTTTACACTACTGGCACAAGCTGTCCGGTGTGAAGTACATACCAAGGTATATATGTATTTCGAATTGTATATCTTGCCTTCCATATATAATGATGTACGCGAGTATTTAGAGGGCGAGAGGAATCTGTGCGCACTTTATAGAATAATAGAAATGGTTCTACAATAGTGTATATATATATATAGGCCACTGATGTGAAATTCAATGTTTCTTGATTATTGAAATAAATAGATAACGATTGACACGAAAATGGAAATTTTATTTTTACATTGAAAAAATTATATTTTGTTTTAAAACAAAAAATATTTCTATAATTTAACTTTTTTTTTTGAAAAATGCTTTTCTTTCAAAAGCAATTACTTAAGAATATAAAAATGATTTTATATTCTAAAGTAATCGCTTTTACTATATACTGCGCTTTTCTTCTTCAATTTAGCAAAAAGCCAACTTAAATCCAAAAACAAAACAATCATCTGTCAGATTAGTGAAAATATTTTGATATTTTATGCATTATTCCATTTTTTTTTTTTTTGGTTGACGAATATATATATATATATATTTTTTTCTAGAATATACATTCTAAAAATATCGTATTTCATCCTTTAAAAGTTCTCAATCCCACATTTCAAAAAGCGAAAACAAATGTTCTGTCACAAGAAATTGTAATTTTTTTTCTTCCCCACTATAGAAACATTTTAACTATTTAAAAAGAGGAAAATGAATTTTTATTTGTAAAATATAATTTACAAATAAAAATTAATTATTTCAAGCAAAATTTAGTTGTGCCATACAAATTTTTTTCTGACTAATCAGTTAATTTACTGTTATCAAATATTTGTACTAAATAATTATTATTATTTGCATCAATACAGTTTATTTAATTCAAATAAAAATTTTCTTATTTATAAAAAATAAAGGTAAATGGAGCTGGTAGAAAAAATTTAGTTTCATAGCGTCCCACCAGAGGGAGCCACCACCTCTATATGCTGGCTCCCTCTGAAGGGACGCTATGGAACTAATTTTTTTTCTTTTTTGTTTCGTTTGAAAGTACAGCTATAGTCGCGAATTAAATTCGACAAATACCAAAAGAAAAAAAGTAATTATAAGTAAATATTTATTTGATAATAAATATAAGCGAATAAATTTTTTTTTTTCAGTTATTAAAATATTTTTACTTCTTTAAAGAAGAAAATTAATTGAATTGAAATTTGTCATGAGAGTTTAAATTTGATATAATTCGTACACTAAAGGGGTTTGAGGAGTTTATTATCATGAAACGTCTTATGTAAGGCACAATGGCTTGTTCTGTTTAATTATCTATTCATTGAGTGAACGTCCTGCCTTGCTTCATTTAGGAGATATTCTGGGCAATCTAGTGTACCACTCGAGACCTTCGACATTGTTCTCAGTACCTTGCATGTTTCGGTCCAAGGCTGGGATCGTACATAGAACTGGCCGTGATGTCTTCGTCCAAAATCTCCCCGTTCTCCATACCCAATGCTGCGCTGCATTGTCCTGCAACCAATTTCATTAAGTGAATCTTTTATAGAAAATGATTTCAATTAAATTCAAAATTTATCACTTTTTTTTATGAAGATTTTTCATTTTTTTTGTTAGGTGAACTAATTTAGAAACAATTTTTTATTTGATATAAAATAAGCTATAAGATCACTTTATTAAGAGGTGGAATCTTTCTTTTTTTTATAGTAGATTTGTTACTTTGATTGAAGTGGTTTAATTTTCAGTTGAAGAAATCTGACAAGAAGTGCCAGTCTAGCGAATTTTTTTGAGAGTACTTTAATGCTTTTAGTGCTACTAGATTTAATTAAGAGGATTTTTTCTCTAAGGGGAGAAAGATTTTTTTTTCTTCCTTCAGGAATATCTTAAATCGTAAGAAAAAATAGTAGTTAAAAGAAATGGTTAGGCATTTGTCTCAGAGAAAAATAAATATTTATTTTGTTGCAAATCAAATTTTATTTGACTCGAATAAAAATTTTATTCGGTTTCAAATTTTTTCAGTTTAATTATATTTGGTTTATTTTTATTTGACTTAAATAATTTGGCATTATATAAAATTTTATTTGTACTAATTAAATATTTTTTATTTAAAAAAGAAAGTTTTTAGGCGAAGGTAAATAGAGATGGTACAAAAAATTTAGTTTCATAGCGTCCCTCCAGAGGGAGCCACCTCTATATGCTGGCTCCCTCTGGAAGGACGCTATGAAACTACAGCTATATTCGCGAATTGAATTTGTCAAATATAAAAAGAAAACAAATTTAATGATACTACTGTTAAGGAAAAATAATTTTTATTTTTTTAAAGGGTCGACAATAGAGAATAGAAAAAATAGATAATTTGATTTATTTTTATTCGAATTAAATAATGAATATTTGGCATTAAATAACATTTTATTTTATGCTAATTAAATAATTTTTTTTTTGAAAAAAGAAATAGTCCTTAGGCGAAGGAAAAAAATTTAGTTTCATAGCGTCCCTCCAGAGGGAGCCAGGATACACAGGGAGGGACACTCTGGAGGGACGCTATGGAACTAAATTTTTTTTTCCTCTGGAGAAACGCTATAAAACTACAGCTATATTCGTGAATTAAATTCTACATAATAATAAAAGAAAACACAAATTATATTCCTCAGAGAAAAAAAAGTATTTATTTTGTTGCAAATAAATTTTATTTGACTCGAATAAAAATTTTATTCGATTTCAAATTTTTTTCAGTTTAATTATATTTGGTTTATTTTTATTTGACTTAAATAATTTGGCATTAAATAAAAATTTATTTTGTGCTAATTAAAAATTTTTTTATTTAAAAAACAAAGTTCTTAGGCGAAGGTAAATAGAGCTGGTACAAAAAATTTAGTTTCATAGCGTCCCTCCAGAGGGAGCCAGCATATAGAGGTGGCTCCCTCTGAAGGGACGCTATGGAACTAAATTTTTTTTTCCTCTGTAGAAACGCTATAAAACTACAGTTATATTTGCGAATTAAATTCGTCAAATACCAAAAGAAAACATTAAATTTAATGATACTACTTATTTTCACATAAAATAAATAAATATATTTAAAAAAAAATCTGAATTGCATGGTTTTCATTCGCGTTATTATTTTTTGCCAAGGATATATATTTTTTTTTTTTTGGTGGGGATTATTTTTTTCTCCTATATAGCAGACACTGATGAATATTTACCATCAGTCGAAATTAATATTTTCGTATATATGTGATTCTTTAGAAATAGTGTATAAATGTTTGGCATAGCTTGTGATAATTTCTGGCGTCCACAATTTCTCTCTCTCACTCTCTTTCTGCAGTAGTATGGGACTGGACGGAAATACTAGCACACAGTTATACCGACACCGGGGGGAAAGTTTCAAAACTGCAGAATGTTGCGGACGCGGGATTAGCTGGCCTCAGGCTGAATTGCCTAGCTTTTGTATACGCCTGTATTTTCTCTTCAAAATATATATATATATATATATATATATATATATATATGTACATATATATATATATGTATATAAATGTATACACACGTATGTGGGCACTATATACAAAACTTGACCAATCCCCTCTTCCCCACCGACAGTTATTATTAGCCAATATAACTTCAGATACGTTACTGACTTTAGCCCGCACGTCGGAAATCGTTATAAAGTATGTATATATATATATATATATATATATATATATATATATATATGTGTTCGAAGCAAAGTTATGATCTATTATGTACATTATCAATTGTTAATAATTCCACTACCGAAATACTCACTAACAAGTTGGAAATGTATACCTACTCTGCCCAAGTCAATAAGGTATAGATAAATTTCATTTTGAAGTTCGAAAGTTGATTTTCATCATAGATATAAAAATTTTTTTTACATATTAACATTTTCTTTTTTTTCTTTTCTTTTCTTTTTTTTTTGGTAAACCAGTTTTTTTGTTTATAAAAATTTGTTCAATTTTTTATAAGAAATAATTTTTTTTCTAATATTTTTAACAATTTATTTCGATTACAAGTAGGAGTAAAAAATAATTTCAATATTAGTAAATTGATGTTTAACTATTGTATTTAAATTTTATTTATTATGTCTGACTAAATACTGACTTGCATTACTGATTTTCTAATTTAGTTTTAATGTCTGACGATTTAAGCTACTAGAAAAAAAATTTAAAACCATATATTGTCTGACTAAATATTTATTAGTACTACTGATAAAAATACAAAAATTTAGAAACTTGAAAAAAATATTAACTAGTACTACTAAAAAAATTGCTAACTTTTAGAAAAGCTGACTAAATATTGACTATTACTACTGATTGTCAATTTTTTTTGCCATGTCTGACTAAATATTGTCCTTTATTACTAAATGTCTAATTTATTATGTCTGAGTATTTATTTTACTACGAATTGTTTAATTTCCTTATTATGACTGACTAAATATTGACTTGTACTACTAAATTTATAAATGAATTACTATTTTTAATTAAAACCGAGTACTTCTAATAATAAAATTAGAACAAAATAGAAAGCCTGACTAACTATTTACTTTTACTACTCTTTTCGGTAATTTATTTATTATGTCTGACTATATATTTACTTGTACTACTGATTTTTTAATTTGTTTACAAAATCTGATTAAAATCAATTTAATGTACTAAAAAAATTACAAAAATATAGAAAGTCGGACTAAATTTTTTTCACTACTGATTTTCTAATTTATTTATTATGTCTGACTAAATATTGACCTGTACTACTAAGTTTCTAAATTGATTACTATTTCTAATTAAAACATTAAACTATTTATAACAATTACAAAAAAATACAAAAACTTAACCAAATATTTTTTTACTACAGAAGTTTTAATTTACTTATTATGTCTGACTAAATATTGACTTATACTACTGAATTTCTAAATTAATTACTATTTTTAATTAAAACTTAATTGATTTACTAATAAAATTACAAAAATACAAAAAGTCGAACTAAATTCTTTTACTACTGATTTTTTAATTTATTTATTATGTCTGACTATATATTGACCTGTACCACTGAATTTCTAAATTAATTACTATTTCTAATTAAAACTGAATTAAACTATTAATATCAATTACAATAAAATAGAAAACCTGACTTACTATTTTTCTAATTTATTAATTATGTCCGACTAAATATTGACCTATACTACTGAATTTATAAATTAATTACTAATATTTTAGATTGATTTAATATACTAATAAAATTACAAAAAAATTGAATGTCTTACTAAATATTTAATTTTACTATTGATTTTTCCTCTATTCATTATGTATGACCTGACTATTTACTTGTACTACTGAATTTGTAATTTACTTACCAAATCTGATTAAAACCAAGTTGATCTACTAATAAAATTACAAAAAAGAACGTCTGATTTAATATTTTTTTTTACTACTGATTTTCTAATTTATTTATTATGTCAGATTAAATACTAACTTGTACTACTGAATTTATAATTTAATTACTATTTTTAATAAAAATCGAGTTGATTAATTAATAAAATTACAAAAAATAGAAAATGTAACTAAATATTCAGTTTACTATTTTTTAAAAATTTATTTACTACGTCTGACTAAATATTGACCTACACTACTGAATTTTTAATTTAATCACTATATCTCATTAAAATCAATTTCATCCTATTAGTAAAATTACAAAAAAATTTAAAGCCTGACTAAATATTTATTTTTACTACTGAGAAACTTTGAAACTTAATTTTAACATCCAAAATTTGGTCTCTGAATAAATTCTAATCTAATTTAAAAAAAAAAAAAAAAAATGTGACAACAATTGAAATGAATAGGTACGCGTGCTATAATTAATTTACCGTGTTTTAAAAAAAGAAATGTCTAACGGGTCAACGCTAAACGACGATCCCTCGACATACAAGAATGAACAGATATAATAGAGACACTCCTCCGCGCTTCTGAGCAGCTATTAGATAGTATTGTTAATTCACCGTGTGGCTGACATTTCATTTTACTGAAGCACAATGGCGGCCTCTGGTTTTATCATTCAGGTGTTGGAAATGCGCGCGCGAGAGAGAGAGAGAGATAGTGGTATGTATACACGACGTGAACTATTATCGCGAAATACTCCAAGAAAAAAAAAATACCTGGCATTCGAAAAAGTCATGTCTACCTTTTCAGAGAGAGAGAGAGAGAGAAAAAAAAAGAGAACGTAAACTTGGCAAGAACTGTGTAGAGAAAGAAATAAAAGAGGAAAACTGAAGAGATAAATACAGGAAGAAGAAGAAAAAAAGAGAGAGAGAGAGTAGAGAAAAATATGAAAGAGAGCTGGCAGATGATTTTTCCAACCCGGGGTTTATATGGTCCGAACGATATTACGGTCCTGACAAAAATAAAGAGCGAATTTCTTGCGCCAACTTATTGTCGTTGTGAGAGAAACGGAGAAATAGTGATCCGCCTAAAGGTGTAGGATATGAACAATGGATTCGACTACTTGGTGTGTTCTATTTGAAATAAGTGACGAGCTCTTTTATTTTTCTTTTTTTTTTATTTTCCTTTTTGCTTTATTAAAACTGAACATTGAAATATTTAATTCTCCAGTAAAATGAAATTTTTCCATTCAATATAAAATTTATTCTTTTTTCCCAGGTGAAAAAATTAACGTTACTAACGTTACTAATGTTACTAACATTACTAATGTTACTAAAGTTAGTACCTATAAAAAAAATAAGAGTTTCTAAAATATATTTTCACAGAAACTTTGACACTACTTTCCCATTACCACTTTCACTTCCACTTAAACTTTTTATAATTTTCATTCCCATTTCCACTTATACTCTTTCTAATTCTCATTCCCACTTCACTTACACTTTTTCTAATTTTCATTCCCATTCCTATTTCCATTTCCAGTTTTTTATATTCATTGCCACTACCACTTTTTCTAATTCTCATTCCCACTTTCACTTCCACTTACACTTGTTCCAATTTTCATTCCCATTTTCACTTCCACTTTTTTATATTCATTGCCACTTTAACTTTTTCTAATTGTAATTAAAAAAAGTGGAAATGGTTGTGTAAATTGAAATTAGAAAGAGTTTTAGTCGAAATGGCAACAGCTAATGAAAATTAGAAGTGGAAAAAATGGGAGTAGAAGTGGTAATGAAAATTAGAAAAAGTGGAAGTGAAAGTGGTAATGAAAATAAAAAAGTGAAAATGGGAATGAAAATTAGAAAAGTGAAAGTGGAAATGAGAATTAGAAAGAGTGAAAGTGGGAATGGAAGTGCGAATGAGAATTAGAAAAAGTGGAAGTGGAAGTGGTAATGTAAATAAAAAAGTGAAAGTGAAAATGGGCATGAAAATTATAAAAAGTGAAAGTGAAAATGGGAATGAGAATTAAAAAAAGTGAAAGTGGAAACGATAATGAAAATAAAAAAGTGGAAGTGATAATAGAAATGAAAATTATAAAAAGTGCGGGTGAGAACATTAAATACTTCCTGGTGGTCGATTTTCGACAAGTTTCTGCAAAAATACAATTTAGAAACAGTTTCTTAATTTTTTTATAGGTACTAACGTTAGTAACATTAGTAATGTTAGTAATGTTAATTTTTCTACCTGGGTTGTTGCTATTTTATATATATTTTTTGCTATTTATTTATTCTCTATTAACTCTACTTTTTTTAGTTTTTTTTTTTTTTTTAAATAGTAATCAATTTTTCATTGTGTATTATATAGAGCCGACCCCATAACTGTAAATTTCTTTTGGAAAATTCAATTTACAATGTGTTTGGTGTTGTACGTATTTGAAAAAGTGAAGGTAATAAAGATTAATAGGAAATAAAGTACCCTCTCTATTTGGCTTTTAGCAAGTGCTCCAAAACGAGCTCCAGATGCTGAGAAAACGTATACTATATATAGACCTTATTGCCATGGCTCTTGTAACTAATGGCTTTGGTGCAGGCTTCCGATTTCATCCAATGTTCATGAGAAATAACCCAAGTCGCGTTTGGTTTCACCTGAGATCGCATCCTAGTTCTAAATCTTCAAGGATCTAAATCCTTCAAGTTCGAGTCAGTACATGTCTCTTTATCCCAAGATATCTAGTCGAAGGTTTATCGGATTTTCTGGATTCCAAAAAAAAAAAAAAAAAAAAAAAACAGCATCTCTAATTTATCGACATTGCTGTAAGCCTTTTTTTCAAGTTTTTTGTTAAAAAAATTTTTATAAAAAAAAATGCCAAAACACTGCTTTTTTGTGTTTAGAAATAATTTTGATATGGAAAAATAATTTTATATTTTTTTTAAAGAGTCGAAAATAGAAAAAATATATAATTTGGTTTATTTTTATTTGGATTAAATAATAAGTATTTGGCATTAAATAAAATTTTATTTTGTGCTAAATTAAATTATTTAAAAAAAAAGAAAGTCCTTAGGCGAAGGAAAAAAAATTTAGTTTCATAGCGTCCCTCCAGAGGGAGCCAGCATATAGGGGTGGCTCCCTCTGAAGGGACGCTATGGAACTAACTTTTTTTTCCTTTGGAGAGATACTATGAAACTACAGCTATACTCGCGAATTAAATTCTATAAAATATCAAAAGAAAACACAAATTATTTGTCTCAGTGAAAAATAAATATTTATTTCGTTGCAAATAAATTTTATTTGACTCGAATAAAAATTTTATTCGGTTTCAAATTTTTTTCAGTTTAATTATATTTGGTTTATTTTTATTTGACTTAAATGATTTGGCATTAACTAAAATTTTATTTTGTGCTAATTAAAAATTTTTTTATTTAAAAAACAAATTTCTTAGGCGAAAGTAAATAGAGCTGGTTCAAAAAATTTAGTTTCATAGCGTCCCTCCAGAGGGAGCCATCTCTGTATGCTGGCTCCCTCTGAAGGAATGCTGTGAAACTACAGCTATATTCGAGAATTAAATTTGTCAAATATAAAAAGAAAACAAATTAAATGATACTACTGTTAAGTAAAAATAATTTTTTTTAAAGGGTCTAAAATAGAAAACAGAAAAAATAGATAATTTGGTTTATTTTTATTTGAATTAAATAATGAATATTCGGCATTAAATAAAATTTTATTTTGTGCTAATTAAAAATTTTTTATATATAAAAGAAAGTTCTTAGGCGAAGGTAAATAGAGCTAGTACAAAAAATTTAGTTTCATAGCGTCCCTCCAGAGGGAGCCACCTCTATATGCTGGCTATAAGAGCAACAGCTATATTCGCGAATTAAATTCGTCAAATACAAAAAGAAAACAAATTTAATGATACTACTGTTAAGGAAAAATCATTTTTATTTTTTTAAAGGGTCGAAAATAGAGAATAGAAAAAATAGATAATTTGGTTTATGTTTATTTGAATTAAATAATGAATATTTGGCATTAAATAAAATTTTATTTTGTGCTAATTAAATTATTTTTTTTTTTGAAAAAAGAAATAGTCCTTAGGCGAAGGAAAAAAAATTTAGTTTCATAGCGTCCCTCCAGAGGGAGCCACCTCTATATGCTGGCTCCCTCTGAAAGGACGCTATGAAACTACAGCTATATTCGCGAATTAAATTTGTCAAATACAAAAAGAAAACAAATTTAATGATACTTCTGTTAAGGAAAAATAATTTTTATTTTTTTAAAGGGTCTAAAATAGAGAATAGAAAAAAAATAATTTGGTTTATTTTTACTTGGATTAAATAATGAATATTTGGCATTAAATAAAATTGTATTTTGTGCTAATTGTATTATTTTTTTTTTGAAAAAAGAAATAGTCCTTAGGCGAAGGAAAAAAAATTTAGTTTCATAGCGTCCCTCCAGAGGGAGCCACCTCTATATGTTGGCTCCCTCTGAAGGGACGCTATGGAACTAATTTTTTTTCTTTTTTGTTTTGTATGAAAGTACAGCTATATTTGCGAATTAAATATCAAAAGAAAACAAATTTAATGATACTAGTGTTAAGGAAAAATAATTTTTTATTTTTTTTAAAGTGTCGAAAATAGAAAATAATTGAAAAAAAAATAAAATTTTGTTACCTAATTCGAATCCGAATACTGGCAGAGACAATAGAAGAACGATTAGGAGTTCTTGAAGAAGACTATGGTTGACAGGACCAAAGGCTGGCATGTTAAGGGCCATTAGGTCCCTAGTCTATCGGTTCTTCATCATACAGAACAACCTGCTTTGCTGTACACACCCTCCTCCTAAATGCCATTTGACCTTATGTCATCGTATGTTCTCCTCTTCCTCAATTGGTTTACCATCTTGTTGATGATACCCAAATTCTCGCATCTGAAATAAATCCAAACAAAAAATTATGTTAATTTTTAATTTTTTTTATCACTTTCAAACAATTTTTTTCCCTTCTGATAATATATTGGGTAATAATTTTTCGAAAATGGTATGATTTAGAAAAAAAAATTACCACTGTGAAAATGTATATAAAAAGATTTGTTTTTTATATTAAAAAAAATAATTTGCTGTTAATTTACAAACAAACGAAGTTTTCAAGTGGATTGAAATGAACTGAAAAGTTAGGATGTTATTGGAAAGAGGGTATATATATATATACATAAAGGAAGAGGGAAATTTACAAAAGTTACTTGGGTAAGGTGGTTGCCTTTGTGGTTTTAACCATGGTCCGAACAGCGAAGGGAAAATCCCATTACGAATCCAATTTTCATTGATTAAAGTTAATTTATTACCATTTATTTCCATTTTATGTTGGAACTCCAATGAATAGTAACGAACAGAATTTAAACTAATGGAAAGAATAAATGCAACGACATACAATATATAGAACCACTCGACCCTAATCTATCATCTAAGGAAAAAAAAAAAAAAGTATAAGACAAAAATTATTCCAGTAAAGAATAATTAATTTTTTTTTCTTCTGTATATGTACATTTGAATATGCATTTTTAGAAATCTTTTAGAAACGACTATTTTTTTTTCTTTCTGTAACTTCCTGCACTTGAAATATCGAACCTCTGGAGTTGTAATTAAGCAACTGGGTGCTCGTTAAACGTGGGAATTTTAATTGCGCGCGTTATTAACGTGCTAGATGGAGAGCGAAATGAAAAACGAAAGCGGAAGTGAGGATTCCCAGTGGTTGCAGATTTTTGGTCTCCATATACAAATCTATTACACTTTCAAAAAAAAAATATTTTGATTAATTAATTAAACAATTTTTTTTAAATTCAATAATAAAAAATTATTTTCCAATTTTTTTTTACATTTTGTGGTTGTAAAATATATATATTTATTTAAATATTACAATTTCAGTATAAATAATTATATTTGAAATTAATTTGTAAGCCCTGGATTTTTGGTGAGTGTTTAGCTAAAAAATTCATCACGCAAAGCAGGAAATGTTCATTATGCAACATGGAAAATTCATTTCAGTTTGAAATATCTTGCCCACACAAAGCTTTGAAAGAGACGAATATCATTTAAAAGCAGAAACATCAAACTAATTTTCGCTGTGTTCAGCCACTGTGTACCACTGGGGGATTTCAAAATTTGGTTTTCTCTTTTAGAATCCAGAAATTCAATGCAATTGGATTAACACACCTTAATCAATGCGCGCATATATGTGAAAAAATAAACAATTTTTTTTTTTATCAAGAAAATAATGAAAGCATCGTAGACAAAAAAAAAAGAAGAAAATTGTTAAAAAGTATCTATAAAGTGGCTACATTATGATATCCCAAGTACCTGTCGATAAAATATAAAAAGAAAATATAAAAAGGCAACAAGCGGACAAGTGTTCTATAGATGGAAACAAGTCTAGAACAAAACGAAATATGTTATACAAGAGAAAATATATATTTTTTTTTTGTAGTTTGTGGTGCATCTCTGGGTAAATGAGAAATTCTTCCCTTTTTCCTACCCAAAGCTGAACACTATCATTACCCACGTTCATATCAAACTAAATGAAAGGATTTTGTGATGCAAATTTAATTCCACGTCCGTTTTATTTTTTTTTTTGCTTTAGAGAAGACGCAGATATTTACGTGTCGTTGGTTTTCTGTCGAATTGCTATCAGAAAGATAGAGAAAGAAAGAGTTTGAGATGCTAGCAAATAAAAAAAAAGTGTTCCTCGAGGCTGTGCGAAAGTAATTTTTTTTTCACCCCGTGACGGTTATTTTAAGACCTAAGAAAACCTTCCGTATTGATTAATACACTTCAGTGATTGAATCACACGACAAAATCTTTTTAAAGACGTTTTTTTTTTCTTTTTTTTCAATTTTTATAAATGAGTATTAAAGAGTAATAAATTGATAATTTTATAAATAAATAAATTTTTAAATAAAAAAATTAATTTTTAAATACAGATTTTATTTCAAAAATTAATATCGGGATATAATTTAACTATAGTAAACTTTATTAAATTTTAGAATTGACATTTTAGTGAAAGTGAAATTTTAGGAACTCAATTTGAAACACATGCTTCACGAACTTGAAACATTATTGTTTAGCGAAATTTAACATCTTTCATGTAATTAATTATTAACTTGATGTACATATAGAAGAAACTAAATTCAAAATACACTTTCATACCAATCGTTATTATTCACCCTCGAAGTTTAATTAAAGTCCTGAACACATGTTTGCTTTATTTAGGTCTTTGCTGTTATTGTATACATATATATAGAAAATATATAATATAAATATATAATAGAGAATAGAAAAAAATAGATAATTTGGTTTATTTTTATTTGAATTAAATAATGAATATTTGGCATTAAATAAAATTTTATTTTATGCTAATTAAATTATTTTTTTTTGAAAAAAGAAATAGTCCTTATACGAAGGAAAAAAAATATTAGTTACATAGCGTCCCTCCAGAGGGAGCCAGGATACACAGGTGGCTTCCTCTGGAGGGACGCTATGGAACTAAATTTTTTTTTTCCTCTAGAGAAACGCTATAAAACTACAGCTATATTCGCGAATTAAATTCTACAAAATAATAAAAGAAATCACAAATTATTTATCTTAGAGAAAAATAAGTATTTATTTTGTTGCAAATAAATTTTATTTGATTCGAATAAAAATTTTATTCAGTTTCAAATTTTTTTCAGTTTAATTATATTTGGTTTATTTTTATTTGACTTGAATAATTTGGCATTAAATAAAATTTTATTTGTACTAATTAAAAATTTTTTATTTAAAAAACAAAGTTCTTAGACGAAGGTAAATAGAGCTGGTACAAAAAATTTAGTTTCATAGCGTCCCTCCAGAGGGAGCCACCTCTATATGCTGGCTCCCTCTGGAGGGACGCTATGAAACAACAGCTATATTCGCGAATTAAATTCGTCAAATACAAAAAGAAAACAAATTTAATGATACTACTGTTAAGGAAAAATAATTTTTATTTTTTTAAAGGGTCGAAAATAGAGAATAGAAAAAATAGATAATTTGGTTTTTGTTTATTTGAATTAAATAATTAATATTTGGCATTAAGTAAAATTTTTTTTGTGCTAATTAAATTATTTTTTTTAAAAAAGAAATTGTCCTTTGGCGAAGGAAAAAAAATTTAGTTTCATAGCGTCCCTCCAGAGGGAGCCAGGATAGAAGAAACTAAATTCAAAATACACTTTCATACAAATCGTTATTATTCACCCTCGAAGTTTAATTAAAGTCCTAAACACATGTTTGCTTTATTCAGGTTTTTGCTGTTATTTTATACATATATATATAGAAAATATATAATATAAATATAAAAATAGAATATAGTGGTAGAATATAAATTCACATTTATTTTGAAAAGAGAAAATTCAAAAAAAAAAAAATTCCCTTTTTACTATTCAAAGCCATTTGGTGTAATCTTCCTTGGGAAATTAAAGTTTCATACTCACACTTCTTCAATCAATTAATGGAGTCGTTTGATCATGAAGCTTGCTTAAGAAACTTTTTCTTTCAAGAAATTGCACTAGTCCAAGTTCAGATGCAGGAGAGTGAGAAAGTAACTTTAGAAACGCGGTTTAAAACTTAGAGCACCTTAATCGAAAGATGCGGTGCACTACACTTTTGCGGTGTGCTCTCATATACTTTTTCTTTCAAAAAAAAAAAAAAAAAAAGAAAAGGAAAAAGTACTTTCCTCAAAATTTAATACCACAAACGTGTTTTTCAATCTTTTTTTCTTCTCAACTTATTATTACAAATTATTATCAAAATCACATTGAAGGAAAAAAAAATATTTAGCCTTTAGAAATAATGCATTTTTTTGCGTTGGATTAAGAAAATAGAAAGAAAAATTAGGCAAATTTTTGTACTAAAATTTAATTTAAATTAATTTTTTTTTCATAAATTTCTCATCATTAAAGTGTCAAATGGGACTTAGACATAATTATTAAATTAGAAAATCAGTAGTAGAAGTCAATATTTAGTCAGACATAAAATAAACAGATAATCAGTGGTAATAGTAAATATTTAATTAGACGTTCTATTTTTTGTTTTATTAGTAGATCAAATCGGATATAGTCAGACATAATGAGAAATTCAGAAAATCAGTAGTGCAAGTCAATATTTAGTCAGACAATGGCAATTTTTGCCAGTAGTACAAGTTAATTTTAGTCAGACAATGTGTAAAAGTGTAGATAACGAGTAATTAAATTGATATTTAATTTTAATAAGAAATTTTTATTTTTAAATATAAAAGAAAGAAATTAAATTTGAAAAAATATTTTATTAATTAATTTAACGTTTTATTTTGCAGGATATCGATGGTGGACACTCCTCTCTCTCTTTCCTGGCCGATGATAATTAAAATGGTAAGTGTATTTTTACTTTCTAGTTCAACTGCATGTAATATATTTTATAAGATTAGCTAAATTTTTTTCTATTAAATTAAGTTTTTGCCTCAGTAGTAGAAATTTGCTTTAGTCAGACGTTGGAAATACAAAATAGTAATAAATTTTGAGTCTAACACGAAGAAAATTTTTTTATCAGGAACAGCGATTTATTTCTGTAGAATAGCGAAAATTTTTACGGTTTTAGTGAAACATATCGCTGTTCCAGTGAAACTTATCGCTATTTCAGGTAAAAATTGTATTTTTTTCAGTTATTTTCTTTTGTATTACTAATCAATAGTACAAGTAAATATTTAATTCGACTTTCTGAACGTTTCTTTATCAGTAGTACAAATCAATATGTAGTTCGACTTTCTACATTTTTTTGGAGTTTTTTTTTAAATATTACTATGGAAATTTAATACAATGGCTATCAATAGTTACAAATCATTCAAATTTGAAAGTTGTTCGAAATTTTATTTTTTTTTTTTTTTTGAA